CAGAGAAGAGCCAATGCCATGGTTCAAGGCCAAAAGTCATCTGCTGCAGAATTCCCCCTTGCTTGGAGGAGGTCAGCCTTTGGTTCTATTCAAGCCTTCAACTGATTGGATGAGGCCCACCCATGGAGGGCAATCTGCTTTACTCAAAGTCTACAGACTTAAATGTTAATCTCATCCCCCAAACATCCTCACAGAAACATCCATAATAGTGTTTGACCAAATATCTGGGCACTGTTGCTCAGCCAATTTGACACACAGAATTAACCATTACACCTAGTTTCAGAACTCACATAGCATACTTCTACCACATTCTGTCGGTCAAGGCAGTTACAAAGGTCTAGCCAAATACAAGGGAAGGGAACATCGAACACCCCCCCGCTGCCAACTCAATAGAGTAATAGCAATGTCATGCTGTAAAAAGCATATGCATGTGGCATGTGGTATACATTGGTGTGGCATCTTTGGAAAATACGATGTAACAAATGCCCAACTGTGATGTAAGGGAAAAGGAAACCAATTTATAATAAAATATTATGTCTTTCAAAATGTAAATTCCCAGTTGTGGCTGCACTCAGAGTTATAGTGGAGAAGTCAGGTGTCCTGCACCTGTACACAGCATGACATTGAATGTGAGCACCGCAGTTACAGACTGCTACAGGTATGTCCCACGGGAAACTCAAAAAACATGAGTGGAGCTGCTGTGGGTGGTGTGATTTTCCAAAATGGCGAATGCTCTAAAATTCTGCACAAGGCAAAATGCAATTTTCCCTCTGTTTACATGGTAGTTGTATTCCTGGGGCAGGGGGGTGGGGGGTGGGAAATTTAGGCATATAAAAGTTTGCAAAAATCACATTGTGTTTATATGTAGAGTGGGGTTAGGTTTCAAGGCTCAAGGCACTATAAATAGATTGTTTTGCCTATAGGAATGTGTCAGGGAACACTCAGACATCATGGGGGATATAAGACAATTCCTGTAGAACCTTCCAGCACATTGCAGGAGGACTTCTGGCCTCCCTGATCTTTCCCTACTAAAAGCCAATAGTGCCCTCTCCAGCTCTGAGACCACCAAAAACAGCCGCTACGCCTTTTTAAAACTCCTCCTGGAGGGCAGTAGCAACCCTAGTGAGAAGCAGTGCTATAAAGGAAAGGAACAGAGAAATTCCAAAGATTCCTGTGGAGAAAGTCTGGGGAGTATAGAAATGAATCAACCAGTGACAAAATGAAGGATGGAAGGCAAAAAGCCTCATGCCACATCTGATAGGTAAGACTACCCTGTGTGTGTGTGTATGTGAGTGTGGGTGGGTGGAAGGATCCCAACCCATCCCAGAGACCACAGTAGAGGCCCCACCCTGCTCCTCCAGGGATCCAGCACCATCCAGGTTCAGCCAGAAGAGAGTCCTTTTCTACATGTCCACTGTCATCTGCATTAAGGGACCCTAAGCTTGTAGGACGTTTCCCACACTTGGAGTGAAGCAAGGGAAACAGGAACTGAATGGCCAACAGTGTTCTCTTTTTGATCACTACACCCCAATAGTTGGGTGTCTCCTTGGTTAGGGATGAAGGAGAAACCTTAGGCCTTGCTGGGGCTATTTGATAAAAACAAGAAACTTCAAGGCATCCTCATTTTTTTTTTTAACAAACAAAGCATCATTCAGGAAGCCCTATGTTATACCTAGTGTATCTTTTAAATTCCTATCCCTGGGCCTTTGCACCTGTCATGTGCCCTGTTGCAAAGTCATCCTCCCTTCTGGAAGCCCATGTAAAGCCTGTTTATCCCCAGTCTCACTTCCTTCATGAAGCCTGTGTTTCCCAACCCAACCCAAGGAGACCTCTTGTCCTCCCCCACATCACTCTGTCTCTTATGGACCTGTCAGACTCACAGGACTCACATGTGCTGCATGCATCTTTCATTAGGCTCTTCTCTCTCACTGGATACTTTCTTAAGGACAGAACTGAGGCTGATGCCCCTGTTTCTTTGTATCTCCCCAGAGCACCTAACCCAGTGCCTGATCAAAGTACAAATATTTTAGACTAATTCAACAGGAATGAAACTTTATAAATCCTGCCACTTGAAATATGGTGGCTTTAACCTCCTGCGGTCAAACTAAACTTTCACATCCCTGGGAATTACTTGCTGACATTTTCAGAGCTTCCCATCTTCCTGTGAGGCTGAACTTTAATGGCTACTTGAAACAATAGGGCATTGATTTTGTTTAAGTGGCTATTGAGAAGGGCTGCAGGGAAGGGAAAGCTGCAAAGGTCTGAGTCGGGAAGGCAGGGGCAGCTGAGGAAGGGAGTAAATTGCCTTTGGCCTTTAAGAGGTGTGGCCCTGAATCCCTCTCAGTGAGGGAAGGCAGCGTGAGAGTCTCTTCAATCACCATCCTCAAACTTTACAACCTGTTCTCTTGTCACACTTCATGTCTAAATAGTCCTGTAAGTCATTTCAGACACTCCCAGAGCCCCTGTATGGAGCTTCTCTGCCCCCAAACGGTGAGAATTTTCAGAAACCCACTGAAGTACAAGAACTTCTTCATTTTAGTTTTCAGTTGATTGGGAGGTATTTTGGTATCACAGGTTCTGGATTTGCTGTTTCTGGAGTGTCTGTGTTCTTGTCCTGTGACCTCATTCAATCCTCAGTTCAAGCCTCCCTGCATTACAGTCTCATAGCAGCCTGAACTTCCCCTTCTTAGCATTTGTACAAGTGTGCTGAAAACTCTGTTTTTTAATGATCTGTTTAATGCCTCCTTCTCCTGCTGAGCTGCATGCCCCATGAGGGCAAGTGGCCAGGACTTTCAGGTCCACCTCTGTGCTGTTGGTTCCTGGCACAGAGCGTAGTGGGGCTCGGTTAATATGCATTGAGTGGGGAAAGAATCTGGCAGTTCCTCAAAAAGTTAAACACGAGTTGCGATACGGTGCAGCAATTCCACTCCTAGGTATTTACCCAAGAGAGTTGAAAACACGTGTCCACACAGAAACTTGTATACAAATGTTCATAAAGGCGATATTCATAATAGCCCAAACGTGGAAATACCCAAATGTCCATCATGCACACATGAATAGAACGTGGTCCATCCATACCATGGAATATCATCCAACCATAAAAAACAATGAAGGGGCTTCCCTGGTGGCGCAGTGGCTGAGAGTCCACCTGCCGATGCAGGGGATGCGGGTTCATATCCCGGTCCCGGAAGATCCCACATGCCGCGGAGCGGCTGGGCCCGTGAGCCATGGCCGCTGAGCCTGCGCGTCCCGAGCCTGTGCTCCGCAACGGGAGAGGCCACAACAGTGAGAGGCCCACGTAAAAAAAAAAAAAAAAAAGCAATGAAGTACTGTTACAACCTTGAAAACATTATGCTAAGTGAAATAAGCCAAACACAAAAGGCCACATATTATATGAATTCACTTATATGAAATGTCCAGAATAGGCAAATCCATAAAGACAGAAGGTAGATTAATGGCTGCTAGGGGCGGGGGGAGGAGGCAATGGGCAGAGACTTCGCATGAGGTTTCTTTTTGTCATGATGGAAATCCTTCGGAATTAGAGAGGGTGATAGTTGCACAGTACAGGAAATATACTAAAAAACATTGAATTGTAAACTTTAAAGTGGTGAATTTCATGTTTTTTATGTTGTGTGAATTATATCCCAATTTTTAAAAATACTGCCTTAAAATAGACATATTTATTTATTTTGGCCACACCTTGAGGGACCTTAGTTCCCCAACAAGGGATCCAACCCATGCCCCCTGCGACGGAAGCACGGAGTCCTAACCATTGCACCGCCAGGGAAGTCCCAATATACATATGTATTGAGTGAACAGTTCATCCCTGAAACAAACTCAAGGGGCTCTGGATCAACTGTAAGCCTTTCTGGACTTTCCTGCTGGCTGTGGTTCCTAAGAAAAGTTGGTCTCTAAAGGGTGAGATGTTGGCACTCTGTGTGAGAAAAGGGTGTGGCCATGGTTTACCTGTGTGCATTGGCTGCCAGCACTCTTGTTGGATATGGTCCATCACTGACATTTTTATTAACTTCAAGGGAGGAAGTTGGAGAGGGAGGCTTCCACCCTTTTTTCTTGTAACTGATTTCCTAGGTGTGTCAGATGAACAAAAACATCCTCGATATCGAGGCCAAGTACATCAGCTCCAGCACAGGGGTACAGGGGCCGGTGGCAAATACTCCAGTTAGACTTTGGATGTATTTTATTGCAGGCTTTGGAAGTTTACTTAAGAGGTGAGAGAAAACCAGTTGGTGCCATGTGGGGTCATGGTTTAGAGCTGTCACGAATCCAGAGAAATGTGCTATGTCTGTAGTTCAAACCCTGATGGAGTGGGTGTAAGGAGAGGGACAGACATTCCGCGTGTGAATATACTCAGGGGCCCTTCAGTTTGGATGAGCAAGGGAAATTTTCAGGGTTTGTTCTTGCAGATGGATTTCCTCTGAATGAGAAGGCGGGACGGATCCTCTACCAGGTTATTCCTTCTTATCGAGAAGCAAAAACATCCTGAGAAAAATCAATGTGGAAAAGGGAAAAACCATTTTTGCAGGAGAGACACAGGAATTCTTTGCTCTCAACAGGCCCTGACCAGGGCCTCTTAGAGGTCAAGACTGACCTGCAGTTATGTGCTTTTTTAAAGGTTCCTAGTATATTAAAATGTGAAGAAATGCCCCCCTCAAAAGGTTGCTGAGAACTGCGGTATATTTTATTATTTATTTATTTATTTATTTATTGGCTGCGTTGGGTCTTCCGTTGCTGTGCGCGGGCTTTCTCTAGTTGCAGCGAGCGGGGGCTACTCTTCGTTGCGGTGCGAGGGCTTCTCATTGCGGTGGCTTCTCTTGTTGCGGAGCACAGGCTCTAGGCACGCAGGCTTCAGTAGTTGTGGCACATGGGCTTCAGTAGTTGTGGCTCACGGGTTCAAGAGCACAGGCTCAGTTGTTGTGGCACGCGGGCTTAGTTGCTCCGCAGCATGTGGGATCTTCCCGGACCAGGGCTCGAACCCATGTCCCCTGCATTGGCAGGAGGATTCTTAACCACTGCGCCACCAGGGAAGCCCTGCGGTATATTTTAAATGTTTACATTTGACAGATTAATACTTTTACCACAGAAAAATAGAATAAACGTAATTATGCTTTTGCAAGATAATACCAGGACATATTTTAAATATATGACATGAAGTGCTCTATAGGCAGTGATGGAACTCGGATTTAGAGTTTTACCCCGAATGTCAACTTCTCTCAACCCTGTCATCTAGAGATAACATCCAAAGCCAGAGTAGGGGGCCCTTTGTGAATCGTGAGACCACAGCCCAGTGTCCTCTATACTCCACCCTCACCCCTAAATAGGCCCCATGGGCCCCAGCAGCTACTGCAGTTCACTTGGGTTGGAGTGACATGGTGCATACTCAAAAGCTGTGTTTGTGCTGAAGCCAGTTCTTATTACGACCTTTCTCTTCAGTCAATATGCAGTTTGCTCTTGAGACCTTAGTATTCTTTCTGGTCAATTCCATATGCTTGTTTGCTGCTGCCCTGCAGTGCCTGGGATTTTGTGGATTTTATTTTTGTTTAATTTTAGTCAAAAGCAGTAGCTTATTACAAGGGCAAAGGCAATAATTATTCATTTTCCAACTATAAACAACCAAGTGTCAAGCAGGGTCACACTTCAGCCCCTCTAGGTCTCACTTGTTGACCTGGCTCCTGTGAAGGACATGTTTGAGGCCTCAGTCTACTCTGGACTCCTCATGCATCTCTTTTCCTGAAGCCTCAAACCCAGATGGCCACAGCCGCCAGTGACTTGGTAGTGGCACTGTGAGCCCAAGGACCCACTGGGGACTCACCTGGAGAAATTTGGGAAAGGGAATTTGGCTTCATTAGAACATCTTTAAACAGGGTGGCGGGGCGGGGGTTGGAATTCCCTGGTGATCCAATGGTTAGAACTCGGCGCTTTCACTGCTGGGGCCCGGATTTGATCTCTGGTCAGGGAACTAAGATCCCACAAGCCGTGTGGCATGCCCGCCACCCCCCCCAAAAAAAACAGTGAGGGGACACATGGCATTTCGGATCATTGAAGAGGGCAAGCTCCCTGAAGGAGTCGCTTGGATGCTAAATCTCTGTGTGGGGTACCAGTTGTGAACTACCTTGCCATTCCCCAGTTGTGGCGGTCAGGGAACATTCCAGAACACCTATCACGTACCAGGTATGAATCAAACACTTGTCATGGCATCATCTCTTTTTATCTTCACCACAATCCAATGATATCGGTACTATTCTCATGCCCATTTTACAGATGAGGAAACCAAGGGTAGAATGGCTAAGCAACTTGCCCCAAATCACACAGCTAATGAGTAGCAGAGCTAGGGTATGAAGACTGGTCCGTCTCACTCCAGAGGTCAGGATCTCAGAAGCTCTATTTCTGGGTTTCTAGAGAACTTTCCTTTTCCAAACCAACTTTATGTTCTCCAGGGCCTTTGTGTGAACAGAGAGCCAACTTTACACCCCACAGGGCAGTGAAAAGGAGGACCCTGCAGCGTGGCTGTGAATTCAAACAACAAGGACACACGAAGCTCTGAACCTCGGGAGGAGGGAGACCACAAGCCTCTCTGGGAAGAGTTGTGAGCAGGAAGAGGTGTCTGCGCCCTGTGGAGACCAGCCTCCTAAGCAGCTCACCCAAGGTTTCCTCTCAACAGAGACAGAAAGAGATTCAGGAGTCTTGCAGCAGGAAGGAAGCTCGATGACTATTCACCCTCTCCTGTTCCTCAGAGGGAAACAGGTCTGGAAAATTAAGTAAAGCACACCCTTTCTGCAAGCACAACCTGGGTCTCCTGGCTCCCACATGATTTAGAAGGTGGGCCACTTTCTACATTAGGAAGCCCAGGGCCTGAGAATTGATGTAACTGACCATGACAGGGACCCAGCCTCGAGCCCCTTGAGGTCTGCCACCTGCTAAAGTAACAGTGGACTGTGGATGGGGGGAGGTCTTCAACCCCTTTTAGGATGAATAAATTATATGCATATTTGTGAGAATAAGAATTACCTGGGGGCACATGTTAAAAATGACTCCAATCTGACTGCAGGTCTTGCCCTTGCCCTGTTCTCACTGCTGATCCAGAAAGTTTCCAGTCTATTATCACCAACTTTTCATGGACTAAATGGTGCTCTTTTTAGATATGTTTCCTGCAGGTCCGGACCTGTCAGGATTTTGAGCACACTTTCTACCCACTGCCTTCTTGCCTTTATTTTCTATGGTGTAGGCTGTGTCCTCTAGGGGGCAGAAACGAGCCACTTGTTCTTTGGGGCTGAGCCTAGAGATGTCTCAGAACTTTAAGGAGAAAGTAAAAATACCCAAAGGTGTTTAGAAAGGAAGCAGATCGTACACATGCTTTTCTCACTAGATTGAAGTGTGATCTAGAGTCCTCTAAGAGACAGAATACTGGTAGGAACTCAGGCTCTGAGTTCAAACAGACTCAAGTTCATGGATCTAACGTACTACACCATGACTACAATTCACAATACTGTACCGTGTATTTGAAATTTGCCAAGAGAGTAGATCTTAAATGTTCTCAACACACACACGCACACACACACACACACACACACACACGGGAACTATGTGAGGTGATGGATGCATTAACTAACCTTATTGTGGTAATTATTTCATTATATATATGAATATCAAATAATTCATTGAACACCTTAAATTTCCAGTGTTATTTGTCAATTATATCTCACTAAAGCACAAAAAGAAGAAGAAAAAACACAAAAAACAAAAGACCAGACCCAAGTTTACACCCAGTGGTCAGCCATCTACTGTCTTTGTAACCACAGCAGGCTATTCAAATTCATCAAGCCTCAGTTTCCTGTTTTGTAAAATAAGAATAATAATAATACCCTCTCAATAAGATTGTTGTGAGCTTTATATCGCAATTGCTAAAAAAAGTTTGCTTTCATTATTACCTCAACTGTTACTTCTGCTTTCTTACCAGCATATGATTTTTGAGTCTGAAGGGAAGGTGAAACCCACTTTCTTCGATAGTTGGCTAAAGCTCTCTAAGGAGGCATTCAGTCCATTCTTTTCCAGGCTCTGTCCTAGGATGACATTTTCACATCCTGGAAACCAATAATATGAACAACACAGAGGCCACACTGGACAGAAGGAAACGTGTTGGCTTCCTCAATAAAATCAAACCCACTTCCTCCAAGCAGGGACATGGACACTGTCTGCATAGGAAGGGTGGCTGGCTCTCTTGTTTCTGTCCCCCAATATTCACCTTCTCCCAGAGATTTCTCCCTGATCTCACTGGGCCCACCACGGGCAAGGAAAGCTGCATCCCTTCTACACCCCCGTGAGAATTTTTCCTCTACCACCCACCTTAGTGGATCTGAGTTTGATTTTGTTGAGGGTGTCAGTAAGTTTCCTTACCCTGAGACTTGGGGATTCTCTCCTTTTTAGCTTCATCCTGAGATTTCAGGATCCTTAGTGCCTAATTGGAAATAACAATAATAATGATCATAGCAGCTACCATTTTATGTGCCAAGTGCATATGGATTCTCTCGTTCTGCTTCAGCTCAGGGGGGTTCGTTCCTGTGACCACCACATTTTACAAATGGAGAAACTGAGGTACTGGGACATTAGGTAGCTTCCTCAAATCCTCTTTTTTTCTTTTCTTTTTTAAAATATTTATTTATGTACTTGGCTGCGCTGGGTCTTAGTTGTGGCATGTGAGATTTTCCTTACCACGTGCAAGATATTCGTTGCGGCATGCGGGGTCTTTTAGTTGTGGCATGTGGGATCTTTTAGTTGCGGCATGCAGGATCTAGTTCCCTGACCAGGGATCGAACCCGGGCCACCTGAATTGGGAATGCGGAGTCTTAACCACTGAACCACCAGGGAAGTCCCCTTTTTTTCTTTTTTAATTGAAGTATAGTTGATTTACAATGTTGTGTTTGTTTCAGGTGTACAGCAAAGTGATTCAGTTTTATGTATATATTATTTTTCAGATTCTTTTCCATTATAGGTTATTATAAAATATTGAATATAGTCCCCTGTGCTATACAGTAGGATCTTGTTGCTTATCTATTTTATATATAGTAGTGTATATCTGTTAATCTCAAGCTCCTAATTTATCTCTCTCCCACTTCTTTCCCCTTTGATACCTTAAGTTTGTTTTCTATGTCTGTGAATCTATTTCTGTTTTGTAAATAAGTTCACTTGTATCATTTTTTTTAGATTCCACATATAAGTGATATCACATGGTATTTGTCTTTCGCTGTCTGACTGACTTCACTTAGTATGATAATCTCCAGGTCCATCCATGTTGCTGCAAATGGCATCATTTCATTCTTTTTTATGGCTGAGTAATATTCCATTGCATATATGTACCACATCTTCTTTATCCATTCATCTGTTGATGGACATTTAAGTTGCTTCCATGTCTTGGCTATTGTAAATAGCGCTGCTATGAACATTGGGGTGCATGTACCTTTTTGAATTAGAGTTTTCTCTGGATATATGCCGAGGAATGGGGTTGCTGGATCACACGGTAACTCTGTTTTTAGTTTTTTAAGGAACCTCCATACTATTTTCTATAGTGGCTGCACCAATTTATATTGCTACCAACAGGGCAGGTGGGTTCCTTTTTCTCCACATCCTCTCCAGCATTTATTACTTGTAGACGTTTTGACAATGGCTATTCTGACTGGTGTGAGGTGATATCTCATTGTAGTTTTGATTTGCATTTCTCTAATAATTAGCAATGTTGAGCATATTTTCATGTGCCTATTGGCCATCTGTATTTTTTCTTTGGAGAAATGTCTATTTAGGTCTTCTGCCCATTTCAAAGCCTCTTGGGTAGTCTGACTACAGAGCTGAATTCCAAGTCACTTGACCATGAAGGGAATTGAATAAACACAGACACTGCGTCCCCACCCCTGATGACACCAGTTTCGTCAGAAAGTTTGACTGCAGCCTGGGCTCCCTCTGGCTGGCCCCTGAGTCAGGTCAAGGTGTCAGTGACATCAAGGAAGAGTTGTCCTGCAGGGAGAGAGCCAGCATCCCACAGCCATACTCTCTTCTGGCACATACTCTCCCATATACTTCCCTCACCCACCCCCAAACAGCAAGTTCCCTCCCTGCTTGAGACACTGGGAGGGAACTCCCTCCCTGCTCCATGACACTTTGCAAAGGCTCGTAGAGGGGGAAGAAGGAGTGTGTAGCTCCTTTGAGATGCAGTCAGCTTGCAAATGTCTGACACAGGCGGGAAGAGAAACACCTCTGAGGTCCTTCCTTGTCAGGCAAACTGAGCCCTGGGCCTAAGTACAAATGCTGTTCCCTCCTGTCTTACCTTTTCACCTCCCTATTTTTTCACCACTGTGAAGGCAACACTCACCAGGTCATGTAAAGACACCGTTCCTGCCCTGGAGACTCAGAATCTGTCGCCATTGCTATGAGGTGAGAAGGAAATTGCAGTGTTGAGGTTTCTTGCTTCTTCCTCACTGAGAGAGAAAAACCCCAACTGTCAACAAACCCCAAACCAATCAACCAAATGATGCTGAGAGGTTGCTGGGCAGCAAGGCTGTGTCTGTGGCAAAAAAGATCACGAGATAGCCTGGTCACAGAAACCAAGGTGACAAAGGACAGAGGATGAAAAGAAGAGGAGAAAGCTTGAGAAGGGGGCTGCTTGCAACTCAAAGGGAGTGAGGCCAGGGTGTGTAGATTCCCCAGATACCCAGGCTGCTAGGGCAGGCAGGGTCAGCCAGTGAGGAGGAAAAAAAATGGTGGGTGGGGAGGGATCAGAAAAGAGGGCTTCTATGACCCAACAGGCAAAAAGGAAGACCTTGGAAAGAAAAGCAAAGAGAACCAACAGGATTAGGACATTAAATATCCATTCCCGTTGACAGAACTGTATGTATATAAATTGTGCCTCATAAACCTGACTTAAAAATAAGCTGGGGGGCTTCCCTGGTGGCGCAGTAGTTGAGAGTCTGCCTGCCGATGCAGGGGACACGAGTTCGTTCCCCGGTCTGGGAAGATCCCACATGCCGCGGAGCGGCTGGGCCCGTGAGCCATGGCTGCTGAGCCTGCGCGTCTGGGGCCTGTGCTCCGCAACAGGAGAGGCCACAACAGTGAGAGGCCCGCATACTGCAAAGAAAAAAAAAAACAGAAAGAAAATAAATAAATAAATAAGCTGGGGGAGGTGTCAAAAATTATATATTACAACTCAGCCACATTAAAAAAAGAGAACAATTTAGGCTCTTTATTTCTTAGAACCAATATAAGCTTCTTCACAAACTCTTATTCCCATTAATATTAGGTGGGAGAATTTAAACTTGCCAGTTAAAGGAAAACGAGTCTCTTCCACTTTATTTTATTTATTTATTTTTTAAAGAGGGTATGTGTGCGGCTTCCCTGGTGGCACAGTGGTTGAGAATCTGTCTGCTAATGCAGGGGACACGGGTTCGAGCCCTGGTCTGGGAAGATCCCACATGACGCGGAGCGGCTGGGCCCATGAGCCACAACTACTGAGCCTGCGCGTCTCAAGCTTGTGCTCCGCAACAAGAGAGGCCACGATAGTGAGAGGCCCGCGCGTGGCGATGAAGAGTGTCCCCCACTTGCCACAACTAGAGAAAGCCCTCGCATAGAAACGAAGACCCAACACAGCCAAAAATAAATAAAATAAAAATAAATAAATAAGAAGACCCCAAGATGACTATTTAAAAAAAAAAAAAAGGGTATGTGTGTTGGGTTTTTTTTTTTTCTTTTTTATTTATTTATTTTTGGCTGCGTTGGGTCTTCGTTGCTGTGCGCGGACTTTCTCTAGTTGCGGCGAGCGGGGGCTACTCTTCGTTGTGGTGCGCAGGCTTCCCATTGCGGTGTCTTCTCTTGTTCTAGAGCAAGGGCTCTAGGTGAGCA